AAAAAAAAAAAAAAAAAAAAAAAAAAAAAAAAAAAAAAAAAAAAACGTAAAACAAAAATACAAAAAACAACATAAGGAGCAATATTTCTGAACCAGTAACTGGATTTGCTTCCCCCCGAATACAAAGAAATTCTCAATAGATCACAAAATACACCGAAAACTTAACTAAATTAGTCGGTAAGCGGTGCAGATAACTGGAAGCAAACTAACGACGCATAAATTAAGATCAAACCTCGTTTACCTCAAAAAATCAGCAAACAAAATGCGTACCCTTTCCCTTCCCCTCTCTTTCTCTCTCTCTCTAAATATATGTGTGTGTGCCTGCGTGTGTGGGTTTTTCTCTCACTGTACTCACTGATGAGTGTTTGGCAAAAGGAAGACGACAGAGCACTGTGAGAGCCAGTCTAGATAAAAATGGAGCTAAATGGAATTTTATTAAAGCGTCCTTTTTTAAAAAAAATAAATAAATAATAATAAATAATGGAATATGGGCCCACAACATGCGAAAAGGATGATTTCCGGATTGCAGATTGTTGCTATTATTTTGTAATGTAATTTCGTATTGCTTAGTTTTATTTATTCCATAATTGAGGTTACACTTCAAATTGGTTCTAAAATTGTCAATGAATTCCCCTAATTTATTAGAGAGAGAGAGAGAGAGAGAGAATTATGGAGATAATTGAATTATCTTGATTTGATGAGTGTTATTTAAAATTATTTTTATTTCTTAGATTATGCATAGATAAAAATATAATTTTATACTATATGTGTATGTTTATTAAACTTAGGAAGATGCTACGGTCCCGTTACAAAATTATTTTATTGTAGTTTGTAACCGTTAGATCAATTATCTCCGACGATTACATGATGATCTAATGGTTAGAAACTCCGACAGAATGGTTCTTTACGGGACCTTAGCATTTCCCTAAAACTTAAACTAATTAGGATATCACATTTTATAAATTTTATCATTAGTAAAAATGAAATATATTAATATCTATTATTTACTCATATGTGTACAAAAATGCAATTATTGCAATCTTGAGTGATTATTTATTACATATTAAGTAGAATATATTGAAATTATTATTATAGCAATTTCTTACGGAATTTTAAGTGACTTAGTTATGCTATATATAAATAATTTTTGTGTGTAAGATTATAAAAATAATAATAATAATAATAATAATAATAATAATAATAATAATAATAATAATTTCTAATTATGATATTATGAATAAATATTTGAATGGATTTTTTAATTGTTTGTCCCATTAAATCAAATTTATTTGAATACAAGCTTATTTAGTTTTAAGGTGTTTATCAAAGGCACTGCCTATTTAAGAAAAAATATAAACTTTTGTTCCATAACTTTGGGCCGTTAACAAACTGAATATTCGTGAATAAAAGTCCGTTCCTGTTCGACAATAGCTTTTGCATTTGTTAATTGGATCGAGCTCTCATTAAACATGTTTAGTAGTAACACGAGTTCGTCACAACGTTCGATAACATTTGCGAACATTGGTTTAATATATAATATGGTTCTATTTTATTTAGTTGTTATATATATATATGATATTTTTAATATTTAACTTTTAATTTTTGAAAATATTTTTAATTTATTTTTTATTTTCAAGCTCGAACAAACAAATTTCGAGTTAATCAAACAATTTGAATAATATGTTAGCTAAATTATTAGAACTAAAAATTTCAACCAACAATTAAACAAACAAGAGGTCGAACCTATTTTTTTGCTCTACACAAATAAGCGAAGAACAAATTCAAGCTGGGCTCGTTTGATTTGATTACAACAAGAACACTATTGTTGAAGTGTAAAACCGCTTTTGTAGCGAGAAAACGTTATGGCTTTAAAGCGACTTCAGTACAATCACAGCTACTGTCACACACCTGAAAACCCTTGTCGCTCAAAAACCTCCCTCTCTCTCTCTCTCTCTCCATCGTTGCTCAGGGATGTCAATTTTTGAAGGTTTTCTTTATTAGATCGTGAATGTAAGCTTTGTATCCTGATATTGTTTTCTTGAATTTATTAAGAGCTGAAGCTTTGTGTCCTGTTTTCATCGTCCTCTGGGAATCGGGGTTTGCAGTACGAAAGCTGCCTTGGGTTTGCATAATGTACTGATTTGAAACTGAATTCGACAGGATAATATGGGATTTGCCGACCGAGGAGTAATTGGCGATAGATGGTCCTCGAGGATCCTTTGGCTCTGTGCAATTGGAAGTGCTGTTGGTATACATTCGATCTTTATGGATATATATTTTCAGCATCATTTCTTGAGAGTATCTTTGCTTTGGATATGGTGCTAAATGTTATTGCAAACACTAATTGGGTATGTAGCTGTTCGAAGGTTTATTGGCCATTCATTTTATGCTAATAATGTTTTGGATTCAGTTTATATCTTCTGAAAGTGGATGATATGTCAGTATAGTTACCAAAATCAACATTGTTTTTTGGATTAAATTTCTTAATTTGCTTTCAAAAAATTGTA